AAATGGTTGGAAGATAAGGAGGAAGGACAATCAATACTGTATAGTAAATGTGAGGTAAAGTGTGTCGCCAATGTAACCGGTTAGAACTCAAAGTGGCGATGAGGTCTTAAAATGTATGGAAAGGGTCTTAAAAAAGGTCTTAACCTGTTTAGCCCTGAGCCTGTTTTTCAGGTCTCAGGCTCGTAAATGACATTCCCAGAACAAATGACCATATCTTCACTTCTAAAAGGGGTAAATTAATAATCTTTTTTCTCAAAGCAAGGTTACATCTGTGAGTTGGATGTAGAAGTGTCAGAATCAATATAGATGTTTTTATTTTAAAGTAAATTCAGATTGAACATAGTAAAAAAATGTAAATTATAGTGTCTGTCCAAAAAAGAAAATTACTTATAGTGAAAACCACCCTTGAATGATGGGATAGTAGACTAAAAGCTTTAGGAATCCAAACTATAACATATAAGTACCCTGTATCAATATTGATGCAAAACAAGTGAAGTTTGACCTTTTTAGAGAGATTTAGAAAAAAAAACCCACTTCTGGGGTCATTTGGGTGCATTTTCCATATCTCTGGCCCCCCTCGGTCGATTTTGATGATTGACATCTCTTTTTAACCGTTAGAGCCAATAGAATCGAGGGGAAGTTCCTAAAATCCATCCAAACATTACCCATTGGTGAATGAGTGCTGCACAGCCAGAATGCCCCGGAACCGGAAGCTGCGATACACTCTGGTGGCTACCATTAGCAGCTAATTTAAAATCTCCGATTTTTACATAAAAATGGAATTATGGATTATCAATAATTTTTTCAAAGTGACAGACACATTGGATTAACCTATGGATTAACCTTCAGCATGCGTTTTTATCGTTTTAATGCCATTGAACACGACTTTTGATCAGAATAACAGCTAAGGTGAGACAATATCCCGTGTTTGCTCCGTAATGCTACGTGTTGTGATGTCTGTGTTTGCTTCCCCTGTCGCGAGTTCTGATCGCTCAGTGATGATACTAATACCTATATAATCTGATATCTTGTATGTGCAGTTACGATAAGTAATAAGGGTATTTCTACCTTGAGTTCTGTGCTAAGTGCGTTAGCATTTCTTCGCTCAGGGGTCATTTAGACGCTTCTTATGAGACTTTTGTTTTGTTTTGGTAAAAATGGTTCGTATTGTCAGTTAGCTGAGTTTCTTCCCGTTAATCTGGTATGACACATTAATAGGTTTTTAAATATTAAGAAGCCCTGAGACACAGTTTCGTGAAAAGAAAACCCGCAGCCCCCTCTACCGGGGGCTCTCGGGCTTAAATGAAAAGGTATTACATTTGACTTCAGGATTTCTGCATATACCCTGTATTGTGACTGGTGATTGATTGGTTGTGGCTATTTATGTTTTTAGCACTATATGCCAATGGTCTTTTTACTATTTTTGCCACATTTTTGTCATATTGTGGCACCTTTAGCAAATTATATAAATGTATTACAGCTAGTGTCAAAATGTAGTAAAAAGGACAATAAATTACATGATGAATCAATGATGGAGAGAATTTGAGCATAAAAAAGCCAACAACTTGAATAAAGTCTTAAAGGTCCCATGACATGCTTTCCCGGTTATTACCCGTCCCCTTGTGTGTTATGTAGCTTTTTCTGCATGTAAACGGTCTGCAAAGTCAGAAACCCTCAAAGTACACCCTGTAGTGACTACAACTCTAACACAGAAAAGACCTGTCTATGCTGCCCCAGAACGCCTCGTTGGAGATTTTTCTTTTTCCATTTTTTTCTTCCTGAGTATAGTGACGTAACTCCTCACACACACACACACACACACACACACACACACACACACACACACACACACACACACACACACACACACACACACACACACACACACACACACACACACACACACACACACACACACACACACACACACTCACTCAGCCTTATATTTTCTTAGCCGCGGTGCTGCGCGGATCTTCGCACACACACATTCACTCAGCCTTATATTTTCTCAGCCGCGGCTCCGTGGATCTCAACACACACACACTCACTGTGTGCTCAGGCTGAGTTCCGCGATGTCTTGCAGACCCCACGCAGCAACCAGGAAACGACACCAGTAATCCACCTCACACTGTCCGCTCCTCGAGCCTCAAAGGGCGGAGCAGCGAGCCCCGCAACGTCCCGCCAACATGGCACCCAGACCCCACGCAGCATTCTCATCTGTTTGTCATTACTGGTGTCATTTTCTGGTTGCTAACAAACGCCATTGTAACACATAATCACCGATGTTCCGCTGTAACGGTGGTGGACTCATCAGAACAGAGTGGGCGAGCTGACCAGAGCACACTGGGCTCATAGGGAGGGGGGGCAGGAGATCCAACAAGGCATTTAGTACAGAGAGTGAATACACATACTATACAGAGATGCTGTATGAGAAACCAATGTGATTTTGGAACATTGAACAATGTAAATCTATTCTAGTAGACCTCAACAATGGAATTATGATCAGTAGAAATGGCCATGTAATGGGACCTTTTAAAATATTATATTTACTTTGTATATTTCTGAATTCAACTCTGGCGATCTGCACCAAAGCATTGTAATTGTAGACAGATTTGAGATGTTCACTTAAATATTTTATTTGACGCAGCTGGAAGTTGAAAGTAGGGCTGTGCGATTATGGCAAAAATCATAATCACGATTATTTTGGTCAATAATTGATATCACGATTATTAAATACGATTATTCATTGACTTTGAAAACATCCATTTATTGAACTTTAAAACAAATATAAATAATAATTTGAACAGTATCTTTTTAACTGTTGATTACCCTGAACGTATAATTCAACTGAAAAACTAATATAAAAATAAATAAAATAAATTATACATTTATATTTACATTTAAATAAATAATATAAAAATAATAAATACCAATAAACAAGATCAACAAATATTTTGGAGCGCACTTCAACAAGCTACTAAACATATGTAAATATGATAAATACAAATAAATTAGACTAAAATAAATTAGATCAAATATGTTGCAGTGCACTGTCACAACCAAGCAAAGCAAAATAATCTTTTTTTTCGATTATGTTGTTTTCGTAATTGTGGCAGGCCAAAATCGTAATTGCGATTAAAATACGATTAATTGCACAGCCCTAGTTGAAAGACAGCAGCCGAAGCAGAGACAGGCCACCCAAAAGAGAGAAGAAAGAGAAAATAGTGGTGATGGCAGACTAACTGCTGATAAAAAGGACACTGAATGGCAGCTGCATTTTTCCAAAACTAATCACATTTAGGAGTTTAGACTTGAAGGAAATTAACAACAAAATTACTTCTCAAGGACCCAGACACACTGACCAAATTTGAATTCTGCCGCCTACCCTTTCTTTTAGACACCCAGGCTTCCTGCACTTTATTTATTCATTGTTTTTTTCCCTTTCTGACCTTGTATTGCTTGAAAACCACCCACCAATGTGTGTTAGCTGCTACAAAATCACCCACTAGTCATTAAAACCACCTAATGTATTTTTTGTTTTATTGTTAATTCTACATTCAGATATTTAAATTCAAAGAGAAATCGGGCCGAGATGTGCTGTGTGCATACATACTCACACAAGAGCTCAGCAGGGCTTTGAGCAATGGCTGACTTTACCTTGATCTACTAGTTTGATTAAATGATATGCTGCAAATTGAGATGTGAAAGGATTGTGCTCAGTCACCGGCAGCCACGGTCAAAGTCATTACAGCTGACAGACTGTATTCAAACTAAAGAGTGAGGAGTCCTTGAGGAGATCTGAAGCCTATTACCAAGCTATAACAACAATAACCGGCTTGGCAACAAGGAATAATGCCACATATTGAAACGTTAAGGCATGACTGAATAGATAAGTGTACTGTGCTGACACTCTTATTTCAATGAAAGGGAATTATATGTAGATACATACGAAGCCCTGCAGCATAGACTCCTGTCTGCTCACATGCAGGTGAATCATGATTCTCCCACGTCACAAATCCCCCGTTTACCTTTAGGGTATGCCGATGAATTATGCCATCACCTTGGTGTTAGTTCAGACTATTGATCATCTTTACCTATTGCTCCATAACGAGGTAATAGATTGTTTTCACTGTTGATTGTTTTCTAACACATCCCACGTGCATTGTGCAGTGGTGGAAGAAGTGCCTGCTCATTATTTGTGTTTGTTACTCCATCACTCTTCTTTTAAAATGCTACTTAATTAAAATTAGAGAAATATGATCAGTAATGTATTACAATTAAAGCAAATGTGCAACTGTTATTGTTACCCTCGTAGGTGGTTAAAGTCCCCTACGTGTATTGGGGTTACAGATGGGGTCCAAAACTAGCAAGCCACATGAATGTTATATTCATTCAATTCAATTTTATATGCTACATATATATGGCCAGGATCCGTTGAATTTTCGGAATATTGGGTTGCAGATTAACATTTTCAAAAGGGGGGTTTGTTTAGCATGAAACACTTGAAATAACTAAAGGATAAGTTAAAAAAGGATAGTGAGGTCAAAGAAAACTATTTCTGCTAAAAAGTTAGCAATGATTGAGAGTCAGACCTAAAGATTTCAGATGTGTGTATCTCACACTGCACTGTAACTTGAATTCATGTACCTTTTGTTATTCATGTTTTATTATCTTTGCTTTTAAATGAGTGTTTTTAAATGCCTTTTTATAATATGTTTCTTAATGCTCTTAATGTCTTTCATTTTTGTAAAGCCCTTTGAATTGCGTTGTGTTGAAAGGTGCTATATAAATCAACTGGCCTTGCCTTGCCTTGCCTTGCCTTGCCTTGCCTTGCCTTGCCTTGCCTTGCCTTGCCTTGCCTTGCCTTGCCTTGCCTTGCCTTGCCTTGCCTTGCCTTCCCTTGCCTTGCCTTGCAGATACAGTATATCACGTTGTATGCTTTAACATGCCTTATGCATATGAAAATACTAACAGATCCTTTTTTGTATTTTTTTTCACAGCTACACCCTCCGTGTGGTCGGCAACGGGATCAAGGCTCAGAGCGCTAACCCTGAGGTCAAAGTGAAGGTAGCAGACCCTGTCATAAATCAGATCATCGACAAACTCAAACACATTAACCAGGTGAGTCTCTACAGATTTACTATGTGTACATAATACACTTTCCTTTAAATCTATAATAGAGTCCCTCCTTTTTAACAGTTTTCTTAGGCAATCTGCTAATCTCTGTGCGTCTTCGTTAGACGTGAAGTAGCTGTCATTATATGATAGCTTGTTTTTTAAGATGCTCTGAAACCGCTACATTGAAAAGAAACTCACAACGCTGAAGCCCTTCACTCTTTACCTCTGGATAATCTTATCTTATTTGATCATCTTTCATATTACCAGTAAGTACCGGCTGATCCCCCAGGCTATGAAAAAAAAATCCATCATTACACATTTAAAAACCCATTTATTCCGGTTTGTGTGTCTTCACATTTACTGGTCTTTGTCAAAATCAATGTATCTTTTCTATCACCCAGCCTGCTTTTCCGCATGCTTGTGCTGCTGTGGCTCTTCTTGCTCTTCCTCTGTTTATCTCTCAGGATGATGAGATTACGGCAGTTTACTGGAGCACTTTCTCTTCTGTAGCTTCAATAACAGCCGCTGCAGCAGCCGCTGGGTTGTTGCACTGCAGCAGCAGCAGCCTCACATGTCTGTTGCTTTAGTTTCCCCAGTGGCGGGCTGAAGGCCAGGTCATCTCTCTTGACCTCGTGCTGGCACCCCCTCCCTGACTAATTCACACCATCTGTGGGATGTCAGAACACATACATCTATATCATAACCATTCAGAGCGCCTGATCTGCCTTGTTGACATAAATTTTGTATATGTCTCTCCCTCCGTTTGTGTTTTTGTGCCATCTACACCTTTGTGGTTCTGTGCATTTTTACATGTACAAAGACAGATTTACAACATTGAATATTTAGACATTTTAATCTGTAGCGCATGGTTTTCTGTTAATACCATAAAACAGATTATATTCATTAGATTGGCAAAGATTGTACAATGTAATCATTTGTAATCCTCTCAAAGCAAGTAATTCACAGAGTGTAACTATATTTCCTAATGTTCACTGTTAGAGGTTTGTAAACATAAAGACATCAAAACAACAGGTAAACATGGTCAGTTAATAATCAGTTGAATTAAGTAAACATTTTCTTCGTGTTATCTTATCTTTGTGTCTTTCTTGTCTTCTTACTTTTCTTCTTTCCTTTCTTGAAACTCTATTTATAACTAAATCAGAAATGTTCCTGAAACGTTATAAAACAACTCAGTGGAGACTCGTTAATGCAACAGTGATGAAAAGTGACACTTGGGCTCAATACCTGATATGATACTCATTATCATCTATCACACATCCAGTGTGTGAAGAACTTAAGTGAGTGTGTGTACTCACTTAATACCATACTTTAGCAAAGAAAGGTATATGTGAGTTTAGTTTTTGCCTTGTTTTTGGATTAATATTCTGCTTTCAGCCCCCCCACAGTAGTCTTTGCTGAGCAAATGCATCATTTATTTTCAAACAAAAACATTTATTCCCATTTAAAGATCTTGCTTAACAAAAACAAAGATAATGCAACCTTAACATGTTATTTTTCCCACCAATATGTTGAGTGTCTTCTGTCATGACCCCACCCCTCAGTAAGCTAGTCCGACAATAAGTGTAGCTGCATCAGTTGGTCGGTCGGTTGGTTGATTGGTCGGTCGTTCCACTACTTTGATCCCGACTGAAATATAAAGAAATCTATGGATGGCTTTGGCATTTTCACAGACATTAGGCTTTGAACAATGGCTTTCCATCTCGCACCACCAGCAGTCAACAAAAAAAAATCAGTCATGCATGGTTCCCAAATGTCCTTAGAACTTTGGTGATCCTCTGACATTTCCTCTAGAGCCCCAATAACTATTGGATGGAACGTGGGTCACACATTCATGTTCCTTTCAGAGTTAATTGGACTATATAAATATAAAATATATATAAAATACTATAAATTGTACACATGGCGCTCTAACCTGAGATGGTGATTATGGTAATGAGTCAGTGTTGCAAAATCTGGCTAAATGTAATGAATTGTAAAATAAGTTCACACACTAACATGAGCTATCTTCTAAGATATTATGTTCTTTATATATTCCTAACAGTCATTCAGCTATTTAAAACATATTTTAGCATGAGTATGTAGACATTAATAGCATCATAGGTTTTCACGTCAGCTGTATAAAACCACTGACATTTCCGAACATCCAGCATATTGTGTCTTGGGCCTCAACGACACAAACAAAGCTTAATATTTCACCCACTCTTCGGCAATGGTGGTAGAAGTATATCTACCATTGTTAGAAACATTAAATAAATAGAATAGAATCCAGAAAAGATGTATGAGATATTGACAGTGTTGGTGTTAATTAAACACAATATAAGGCACCACATTTGTTTTGTTTATCATTTAAACACATTTAATTTAGTGCATGTGTTATGTGTTGTAATAGAAAAAAAATACCGCAAACAACAAGAATCTTTGAAAACGTACATTTCTTTAGGTCAGAAAATAATTCTAAAATCACTTGAAAAACCAACACAAGTGTAACTCTTTAGAATATAATGACAATCTTTAAGTATGTAAGACACAATCTGGACACACTACTAACCAAATCAAAATAGTATTCTATTATTTGTCATTCACTTTGCGTGTTGACTCTTAATGCGTCCAATTGAAAATCATGTCCACAAGTGTTGAGCTGGGATGGTGTCTTCAGTAGTGTTCAAAAAGCAGTTCAAACATTTAAATAAAGCTCTCAAAAATGTGGTTTGACGAGTGAAAATCTCTTTCAAATCCAACATTTGCCCCTTTGCACGAGAGATGTTTGGCAAATCCTCATGATTGGCTCCAGCACTGTCTCCACCACATGAGGTGCTAACAACTAAAACCACTGTGCCGGTTCAGAGTAGAGATGGTGAACCTTGTATGTTAGGTATGTAGTCACTCAATGAGTTGTTCTATGATGAAAGCTCTTTTTCTGTTTTGTCTGGGTTTCCAGGGAAACCAAGATAGAAATATCAAATAATTAATCTTAGCAACATCTCTTGTACACTCAAGCTAAGTTTCACTCCATCACAAGGTCCAAAGGGAAGTGCTTTGTTACGCTCCTTGTAAGCCTCATGTCAGTAACATAAAGCACTCATTTTTGCAAAAATAATTTTCTCACAATCACTCTTGCGAATTAAATCAGACAGTATTCAAAAGCAATTTAGAATTTGTCCTGACCTCACTCAGATACACTTTTTAAACATGTTTTCCATCTGTCCGTCCCTCAGTTGACAACGAAAGCTTTTTGAGGTAATATAAATGCTATCGTTGTGGAGCCTATAATGACTATCTTTTCAGTAGCAAAGGCATCATTTGTGTGATGTGTTTTAATGCTGTTAAAATTGTCAGCCCAAAGTCACACCAGACGCAAGATGTTTGTAGCATACACAAAAAACCTACGCGATCCCTGATTCAACCCACACTGAACAGTGATCCGCCGTTACTAAAGCAGCGGTTTGACGATTTGTTTACCAAAGCACTAAATGCCCACAGTGCATCTGTAATGCTAGGAGGGGGCTTTGACCAGTCATTATTGATATTTGGTAAAACTCACAGCATATAAGCCCTATGAGATTGGTAATAGCTGGCTGTGGAGGGAAATAAATAGTCAAAGGCCTTTATTTAACGGGGCTCCTCTACGCTAAGTTCCAACCACGCCACAGGCTGGCGTTGTGACCTTTCCAGAAACATTTGTGATTCCACAAAATGCGACGTAACGAGTTGCAGAAGCGTCCTAGAAGTCACTCTCTGCTCTGCTAATATTACATGCCTAGTCTATTTTTGATTAAGCTGCAGGGCGTTACACAGATCAGATCAAGCCGGGTAGCAAAAGGAATGGCGAGAGCATCTGGTACATTCCAAAAATGAACAGACTAATATAATCACTAGGGTCTGTCTGTAGGCCTATTTTTCCTGATAGAAGCTAATTTTGAGAAAGAATTATAAATGAATGGTTATATTAGCAGCTCACATGGTCGCAAAGACAGCGTTAACATTCTGATGTTCGACAACTAAAGTGGTATCCATGTTCGTCTTATTAGTTTAGCGTGTTCATCCTCGGGGAATCATGGATCTGTTACAAATATAATGATGATTCATCCAATAATTGTTGACAAAATCCACAGAAAATGCAATGTTTTTTCAAATCAAATATATTCACACGTGCAAAAAATGAAAAAGTTTCCATCGTGATTACTTTTCAGAGCTGTTTAATCCTGTGTGATTAATAGAAACTGTGGTGCAGTCTTTGGTGATAAGCCTTAAATAAATAATCTGCTACTGAAACTGGACTCCTGGGATGGTGTTACGTTCCCTACTGGGCTAGGGGAACCAAAGGGAAGTAACACAAATATAAAATGACCAGGCGAGAGAAAAAGGAGAGGAAGCCAATCTCTGAAGCCACCAGCAGGTCTTTTAATGGACAAAAAGAAAAAGGGCTCACCAGCCAACTTTCAAAGTAAACTAAGGTACAAATATATACTGGAGCGCATCTCCTAATAATTATCAAAACACAGGTCCCACACAGAGACATAGACACCATGCTGCACACATGCAGCCAGAGGAGAAGAGGAGTGACTGCAGCCTTCCTCAGGTCCTATATGGAGGCCCTGATTGGGGATTGGGAGCACCTGGGGAGAGGCTGCACCTGGGGACAATCAGGCTGTACCTGGGGAGAGAGGGAGAGAGAGAAAGACACACACACACACAAACACTACGGCTACAGACAGATGGTATTTCAGTGTCTCATTAGTACCTTGGTTTTTTTGTTGTTTACTGTGACCATGATATTTCTTTTACATCAAAGTTTTATTATCCCCCAAAATATCAAAGTCATTTGGTGTGTTTTAGAAGGCAATGATGGGCGACCTATTTTTATTCCAACAAAACACCTAATCAGGCGTTAAGAGTGCCTTATACAGAGAAACCCTGCTGTCGTAAGTGTCACGCTGCGGTGCATAGGCTTTCTGAAGCATGCCTGGCTAATTAATCAACAT